CTGTTGGGGCATCAAAAGGCCACACACAGGCCGGGCGCTGTGGCTCACGCCTGTAATCCTAGCTCTTGGGAGGCCGAGGCGGGCGGATTGCTCAAGGTCAGGAGTTCGAAACCAGCCCGAGCAAGAGCGAGACCCCGTCTCTACTATAAATAGAAAGAAATTAATTGGCCAACTGATATATATATAAAAAATTAGCCGGGCATGGTGGCGCATGCCTGTAGTCCCAGCTACTCGGGAGGCTGAGGCAGAAGGATCACTGAGCCCAGGAGTTTGAGGTTGCTGTGAGCTAGGCTGACGCCACGGCACTCACTCTAGCCTGGACAACAAAGCGAGACTCTGTCTCAAAAAAAAAAAAAAAAAAAAAAGGCCACACAGGATGTGGGCTTATCTCTTGCCCTCATGCAAGGAACAGCTTCCTTTGTGGTCCTTAAGACTTAGTGGAATTGCAGAGTGTGATCAGACAATGGATCAGCCAGGCCTGCCTTAAGTCCTAGGCCCACTCTTGCTCTTGCTGCCTTGGAGAGCCGCCACACTGCAACAGGCACATTCTAGTTTGGTATAAATGTCAGCTGCCGGGACTCCACGTTTTCACTTGCTTGCCTACAGGTGATCAGCCCTTAGCAAGTCATCATGTTCTAGTTACTCTTTAGCACTTGCACCTCCATTTCTGTTGCCTTCACGCTCATTCACATCCACTGGTAACTGTCTCCTAATTGATTTCCTCAACACTACTACCTGTCTCCTTCCCTCCCTTTTCCCTCACCTAGGAAACACAGTGCTTTCTCATTCTAACATAACATGATTTTTTCCCTCTTTCACCTATTCAGAACATGGTGTTTTCAGTTCCACATTAGAACTGAAAATATCTGTTCATCTTGGAACCACAGAACTCAATTGCTTAAAAGTGTCATGGGTCTTTTTTGCAAAACTGCAGGTATCAAGAAACTTAGGACTTGGGAAAATGTAAAAATAGCTGGTGTTGGAAAAAGGGAGGCAGGCATTGAGGAAGCAGGGGAAGGAAGGAGCCAAAAATGGTAAGAAATGGCCATGAAGTATATTTTGTCTTCTTCTGGCTAATGATGAAGCCATTCTGGAAATATACTCATTACTCCACAACATCCTAGGGAATCTAAATTTCTTTGTAATGCATCCTCAGTGAGAAGCATTTTTCAGACATGAAACTCCCTAGTCATCTAACTTGTCTTTCCAGGGAAAAAAAGACAAACATAATTTAATGATAACCTTGTAGGAGAAGACAGACACTGATGATGGGAGCTGTGCTCATAGTTGGTGTTAACTGTAGATTTCTTGAAGTCTGGTTATTCTAGTGCAATCAAAATCTCCCTGAACTCAGCTAGCTCTTGGTCGGGTCCTCTCCACCAGTTATTAGACTACTTGAAAAGCAGGAAAATTCAGAGTCGCTTAGAGAAGATAGAGAACATTTCTTAGGCATATTATTTTCCTGCTGACATTTGTGGCACATGATTTGATGAAATGAGTGTGCTTATGAGGTCAAGTTCACCTATGCAAAACAAATGAACAAAGTCTCTGAAATAGCCCCCCACCACCCCCATGCAGGGGTTTCCTCCTTCCCACTCACTCACCACCTTGGACTGCATTTCTGTATTTCAAGGTTGGAATAGGCTTTTCTCAGCCTCAGTGAGAAGGGTACCAAACACTTTTGTCCCAGGTTCAGGGAGGAGAGCATTTTCCATTTTCCGGATGTCAACACTGGGGCACATTTTTAGGGAAGTGAGGAATCCCACCAAAATATTCCAAGTAATGGTTGATATTTTGCATATTGATTGCTTTACTTATAAGCATCCACCACACAGATGACAATGCAAATTTGGAACATTACCTGGTAGCTGCAGAGCTGCTGGTCCCAAACTCTAGTGGGGGCCTTTGACCTGTTTGACCTTCTTCAATTTTAGAGCTTTTTCTAAACTGTCAATTTTTCTAATTTTTTTTTCTAAATTTTCAATATTTAGAGCTTTTAGAGAAACTTCAGTTTTGGAGCTTTTTCTCACTAAGTTTTTCTATTAAATTCAATAAATATTTACTGACCAAAAAGTCTGTGCTAAACCCACTGGAGAACCCAAAGATTTAAAAAACTAGAGTCCTACGCTCCAAGATAAGTTAAATAATGTATCTTGTTAGATAATGTGAAAATTTCCATTTCTGGTACCCGAAAAAGTGCTGCTGAACTCGTCAAAAGACAAAAAGGAGGCTGCAGGGCCAGGGCTTGCTTGAGGGGTATGGAATCTCACTGAACTCGCTCTCAAGTGCATTTTGTATTTATGTTTGCACATTCTTCTCAGCTCTTAAAACTTCTGAAATTGGCTGGATGATCTTTCTAATATTTTTTTTTCTTTTCTTTTTTAATTTTGAGACAGATCTTGCTTTGTCACCCAGGCTGGAGTGCAGTAGCGTCACCATAGCTCATTGTAGCCTTGAACTCCTGAGCGCAAGCGACCCTCCTGCCTCAGCCTCCCAAGTAGCTGGGACTATGGTGCATACCACCATGCCCAGCTACTTTTTCTATTTTTTTGGTAGAGACAGGGTCTCCCTCTTGCTCAGGCTGGTCTTGAACTCCTGACCTCAAGCAATCCTCAAGCCTTGACCTCCCAGAGTGCTAGGATTACAGCTGTGAGCCACTGCACCCGGCCATGTTTCTTATATTTTCTTTATAAGGATTCATGTCCCCTGGACTAAATTTGTTTATTCTAAAAGAAATGCACCATAAAATAAATTAAACAATTCCCACCTGCTGGATAGTTGTTTGGGCTAACATTAGCTATAATCAAACACTGACTGATGCACCACAGTTGCTCAGTGATTTCTCTCTGACCCTCACCGTGGCTGCAATCGACACTCTGCAGCTCTTTTTGAAAAGGCCATTTCTTGGGTACTCAGTTGGGCACTTGCACCTACTGAGTGAAGCCCACAAACATCTAGGGAGCACTGCTTTGTTCAGGGTGTGCTCCACTCAGGCAGCCAAGGGGAGCAAGACCCATCCCCTGCCCTACAGACCTTGCCTACTGCCTCAGGGTCCTGCCAGCCCAGGGCAGGGCTGTGGCAAGGTGGACGCCAGGTGCTCTGGGGAGCAGGGGAGGAGGCGTTCTGGTGAGGGAGAAGGCTCCAGCCTTACAGGTGAAACCAAAGCTGTGTCTCCTGGGCTGGGGGAGAAAGGTAGGGAGGAGCGCTCTGGGAACATAGGGAGGTTTGGCTGGGAACGCTGGCTGTGGGTGGGGGCTGAAGACAGTAGTCCCACCCTCTTGAGCCTGCATATTGGCTTTTTAAGGCCCCTGACCCATGTGCACATTATTATATTCCAGAAGCAATGAGGGATCCCTGGGCTAAGTGGAAATTCCTCACCTCTTCCCGTCTGCTGCATGGGATCAGATATCCACCGCCCAACATCCAGAAGCAACTTTTAGTACCGTGTTTTGTTTCTAAAGGTAATGGGATACATAAACATGGGAATAAGTGAAAAGAATGCTGCATTAGAATATTGAAACGAATCGTGCAAAGCAGCACTCTGCAGTGGGATTGAAAACAACAAACCGAGGGGCCCAGTTTTCTCCCAGGACTTCACAGTCTAGAAGGACAAATACACACCACACAGAGAAGTCAAGTCAGAGGATGTTGAAAGGAGGGAGGAGTGACTCCTGCATTCAGGTGTCACAGATACTATCCTACTTGGAAACTGACAGCTGAGCCCGTCACTGTTTCACAGATGCTGGCAGAAGACAAGGAATGTGAGCAACATTGTGTTGGTCCCTGAACCCCCACATCCCATGGGGGCAAGTGAGAGCCCAGAAGGGTACCACACACACAGTGGGCTGCATCACGGGAGAGGAGCTCTGAGCACAGGGAACATTCCAGAGGGCGGCATCACCTGCAAGGTGTCCTGCCGCAAACACAACTCTGAGGATGGCCCAGTTCAAGAGTGGTCAGGCCTTGTACTCTTGGAATAGCCAGTATATGAGTTTCCTGTGGTTGCCATAATAACCACAAACTGCATGGTTCAAAACAACAGATATTTACTCTCTTGCAGTTCTGGGGTCCAGATGTCTGAAATCATGGTGTCGGCAGGGTTGGTTCCTTCTGCGGGCTGTGAGGGAGAATCTGTGCTGTGCCTCCTTTCCAGCCCCCAGTGCTGCTGGAGCCACATTCGGCATTCCTTGGTCTATAGGCACATTGCCCCCTCTCTGCCTCCATCTCCAATGGCCTACTCCTCTCTGTCTGTCTCCCTTTCCTTTCTCTTACAAGGGTATCAGTCATTGGATACAGAGCCCATCCAAATCCAGGATAAACTCATTTTGAGGTGCTTAACTTAATTACAATTGCAAAGACCCTTTCACAAATAAGGTCACCTTCACAGGTTTCAGGAATTAGGACTTAGACATGTCTTTTGGGGGGCCACCATTCAACCTAGCAAATACATGTAGGAGAGCAAGAGGCCCAGGGAGGGCCATCTCTCCCAACAGCAAGAAGATAGATGGTTTTTATGGCGGCATGAGGCCATGGCAGCATGAGACCATGATCAGTGTGCACAAAGACATGGGTGTGGAAAGTGAAGGGCACACTGGAGACAAGGTATCATATTTTACAAGAAATTAGGGAGCTTGGGAATATGCAGTGTGAAATAAATCAACTGCACAGCTGCTAAGTGCCAACACTATTCTAGGGGCTGGGAAGGTAGCTGTGAGCAAAACAAAGTACGTGCCTTCATGAAGCTTACATTCTGCTCAGGAAAGACAGTAAACAACATCAAGAGATAAATTTTCTAACATATTAAAAGCAAAATCTGGGAGAAAATCCTCCTAGGGCAAATGCCTGAGGTGGGAGCATTCTGCTGTGGGCAGACTGGGAAGGAGGCCCTTGGACATGAGGTCAGACTCCATAGGCTTAGAGACCCGCCCCTCGAGTGCTAACAGGGGAGCCCACACAGCTTCACTCATATTCACACACATATAAAACACCACGCCTCCAAATCAGACAATGGACAGTTTATTACTCCCAGCAACACAGCAGCCAGAACAGTAGCTTGAGTCTGTTTCCCACGCCCTTATTCCCAAGGGGAGGGGGCATGGACCTGTGAGTGCAGTGGATCTGCATCCCAGGGTAGGTACCCAAAATTAAGAGACTTGGAGGTTTTTTCAGGGTTGCTAAGGACCTGCCTATCTTCTCCTCCAGAGAGAAAGTACTCATTATCCTGCAATGGGAGCAAGTATCTCTAGGATACAATGTCCTGGAATGTAGGCTGCTATCCTAGACATTCTGTTGTCTCTTTGCTGTTCAATTGTCCCTGAAAAGCTAGTCTGTTCCTCTTGCCAAAAAGCCCAGACATGCCTTTTTTGGGAGAGCTGTCTCCCAAAAGCAGGCAGAGTGACGTCAGGGAGCAAGAGCATCCCAACAGGTGAGGTTAGCCAGGTGACAGGGCCCTTCTGTGGGGCCATGGAGGCCACAGCACCAGGCTGGCATTCATGCTGAAAGTGGTATCATGGGTAGGGTTCTGTGCAGAATAGCATCGCAACCTGACTTCAGCTAGGAGAAAAGAGGCCAGCAGAGGAGGGGTGGGACGGAGATAGTAGGGAGAGGGGGGTCAGATTCAGTGTTTATTTTAAAGGGAGAACTGATAGGATCTGCCAACAGATTACACAAGACAAAGGAGTCAAAGGAGTGTGACTCCAAGGTTCAGGTCAGAGTAACCAGATAGAGGGAGCTGCCATTAACTTCTTTCCCATCTCAGGGTGTCAGTCTGGGTAAGAACATCAGGACTTCAGTTTTGAAAATGTTAAGCCTGAGATGTTCAAGTGGAGATATTGAGATCTGGAGTTCCGTGGTCCACGGTTGAGGTAGAGGTAATGAATTTGGAGTTGTCAGTGTTTAGAAGGAACTCAAAGCCTTGTAGTTGGACCCATCGCTAAGCGGGTGTTTTGGAATAGATAAAAGAGGGCAAGGGCCAAGCACTCAGGAAGGCAGAAAGCCAACAGCAGGAGACAAGAAGGAGTGGCTGGGGAGGTGAGGGAGGAGGTGAGCCTGGGGTCCAAACATCTAACTGAACCCAGTGTCCAAGAAGGAGGATCAGATGCTGCTGGCTGAAGATACAAGAGGCTTGGGATCAGCAACACAGAGCCCAGGGTCAGCTCTTTTGAAGAAATAGAGAAAGGGGGCAGCACCTGGAGCAGGAAGTGGGTCCCAGATGCAGATCATGAGAGAAGGGCTGGAGTGCAAGATCCTTATTTGGCAGGGAGTATGGGGGAGTGAGTCAAGGAAGAGAGGCAGTAGTAAAGGGCGTAATAGCACACCAGCTCCTCCTGGGCAACCAAGCCCAATCCTCCGGGGAAAGCTCTGGGAACTCATTAAAAGTACATACCTCAGTTATCCCGCTGACGGGTGCACTAGCTGATATATTTATACATCCCCCATCATTCACTGGTTGAAAGCTGCTGGGGGAGGGGAGCTCATTCCAAGGCACTTGTGATCCACCAAGGATGCAGCCCTCACCCAGAGGTGTCTGTCTGGCTGGGAGTCTGGATGGGAAATCAGTGGTCAGCCCACTTGGTTGTGAGGGTGGGGTCTGCACAGCTGGGCATGGTGGTGGGGATCTGTTGATATCTGTCTGGCAGTCCGTCCAACTAGGGGTCCATCGGGCTGTCTAGCTGGCGGAGGGGTCTTTTGGGAGGTTTGCCTGTTTGGTGATCTCTCAGGCTGAGACCAATCAGGTTGTTGTTGGTCTATATCTCTGGCTGGGGTCCCCCAGCCAGCCAGCCATGCAATGCCCTTTCATCTGGCTGTCTTAGATTCTGGCTATGTCAGGTTGGTGGTCCATCCATCCGCCTATCTGGGGGTCTTTTTATCTGTCTCTCTGGGGTCAGTCTGTGTGGTTGTGGTTATGCCTGGCCTGGATCTCTGTGAAGGGCTAGGGGTCTGTCCATCTCTCTGTGAGGTTACCCGAGTGTCTGAGTGAAGGAGGCTCACATTCTGAGGACAGACCAGTCCATTATGTGGTGAGGGGAACAGTCTCTGGAAGCCCTTCTGTCTACTCCCGGCTTCACCAACTCAGGAGCCATGTCCCTTTCAGACGTTCTTTTTAAATCTGCTCCGTTAAGGCTCACCGACCATTATAACCCACCTACCTCCCCCAGCCTCAAGCCTCCAATGCTGTAATCACCAGGGCAAAGCCCCACATTTCTCACCCTGAAAAACTTTTATTTTGATCAGGGCCAGTGTCCCCACTCCCAACACATGGCACAGTGGAGCGTGGCCGTCAGCGAGCAGTCCAGGGCTCACGTGGAGAGGCAGGCACTGATGCAGCACTCACACCTGGCTCCAATCGGCAGGGGGGTCCCGGGGCCCTTTTGGCCTTCCGATGCGCAGGTTGAAGCCTGGGAGAGGAAGGGTGCTGTGGGTCTCATGGAGAAGCTGAGGTGTGAAGAGGTAAGCAACTTGCGGAAGGCCATCCCCATTCCTAGAGGTCCTCTTGCTTACTGCAGGCACCGGATTCCGAGAGCCTGAGTCCCACGTTCCCAGGCCAAAGTCTCAAATTTCTAGGGTTCACTTAAAGCTGCGTAGAGTCCCTTCCGCCCAGGCTCTGACTTACCTAGCCCACTGGTCTGAGCTCCATCCGTCACGTCCTCATAAGCGCCAGACCCAGCTGGGCTTTGGTCAGCAGGAACTGTGGGCAGCAGACCCCCCATGGGTCAGCTCAAGCAACCCCACGGAGTCCCAAGACCCCGCCCGACGCTTCCTTCCGAGACCCGAGGAGGCGAGCCGAGGGCGGCGCCAGCGGGAGAGGGCGTGCACCAAGGGCGTGCCCGAGGGCCTTTAGGGTATAGCCTGGACAAACAGGCTATCCTGGCCAGAGACCTAACTGGGACCAGGCATTAGGGCAACGGTCTCTGGGGACGCCTCCGCGGCAAACCAGTGACTGGCAGTAGCCCAGGGGGCGTGGCCAGGGAAGCCCGGACACAGCCTCAGGGGCGTGGCCAGGCCTGGCCAGGGGTCCAGTATCCCTGCAGGATGGGTCCTGAAAAAGAGTAAATGGCTGGGTGCCGCCCCTCCCCAGCCCTGCGCCGGCCTCGACTCACCGCAGCCCGGCAGCGCCGTGCGCGTGTCCTCCGCGTGCGTCCCGGGGCGCTGGGCGCGCGGCGTCACCTGGCTGTAGACCGGCGCCTCCTCCGCGCTGCGCGCCCGCGACCCCGGCCTGGCGCCCGCAGGGGCCCCGCGCTTCTGCACCGCCGCGTACGTGTCGGCCATGGCCGGAGCCGGGGCCACGGGCACCGAGATGTCCTGCGGGCTGACAGGGTGCGGAGGAAGTGAAACGGCAGCGTGGGGCGGGGGCGGGGGAGCGTGCACGGCTGGCGCGCAAACCGCGGGCTTCCTTCCCGCTTGGGCGGCGCGCGTCGAGGAGGGAGGGGTCTCTGGGTAGGGCGGTCTGGTTTCTGTGTCTCCGCGTCCCGCAAGTTAGGCGGGTGAAGGGGGCAGGGGGCCAGCCCGACAGGTAAATGGGCAGGGTATTCGTATTGAAGGGTGGTCGTTTCTGTATAAATGTTTATTGAATAAAAATGAGGAAGTGGCATCGAAGGGGAGGAACGGCTGGCCTTAAAGTGAAGGGCTAGCCTCAAGGACCGGAGGGTGAAGTCTCTGCTGGGAAGGATCGTCAACTCTGTGCTAGCAGCACCCAACATGACGCCTGACAAGTGGGCAGCATCAAGAAATTTTGCTGAATTATTGACTGGAGGTCCCAGGAAAAGAACCTCAGAACGTAGGGCTACGCAGAGGCCATGCATGGACCACTGGATAAAAGGGGCATCTTGGGGAGGGTTCTCAAAGGTCCATTCAAAGAAAGGGCCAGCGAATATTTGGTGAACTGAACAGCAAGGAAGGGGCTAGTGTTTCAAGGGCGAGGAAAGAGCCCCTGAGCCTGAGAAATTCGACAGGGAAAGATGCGGAGACGCAGCCAGATACCTGAGGAGCCTGCCTCGTGGGTGGGGTATGGCAAGAAGCCCTGGGGAAGTCCAGAGGGAGAGGCCGTCGTCCTAGAATGGAATACAATTCTGGGGGAAACCAGGAGGGGAGGGCCATGAGGCTTTGGAGGAAACTGGCCAGACCGCTGATGGGGAACTGGGGTAAGCTTAAGAGGAGATGGCAAGGGAGCCGGAGGCCCGCAAGGGTGGATGTGATTAGGAGTCCGTGCCTGCTCCCAGGAGGAGTCAGGGGCTGGACTCTGCTCCAGGTCCTGGTCTCTGAGGGTGTTGAAGGTGGAAAGGAAGAGAGAGAGGGGAGGGATCTCTGTACCTCCTTGAGGTTCTGGTAGTTAGCTGGGCCTGGCGTTCTGGAGCGCTGAACGGATAATCTGTACTGCTCCTGTTGAAGTGAGGGGTCATCAGGGAGGGAGGGGGAGCAGGGATGGAAGCCTGGCCTGTGTCGCTGGGAACCAGGACCCGAGACTGAGCCTCGCATCTCTGTCTGCACGGCTGCAGGACGCTGCTTCCGCATCTGCAGGACCAAGTCAAAGAAGCTGAAGTTAAGTGGGATGGTCTAGGGCGGAGAGACGGGGCACGTGAGCAGAATGGCGTAAGCATGGGACGCAAACTACACACACAGGAATGCCTTCATCGTACCTGGGTCAGGAGCAACTGCCTCACGTAATCCATGGTGCACAGCACGCCTGTTCGCCCGCAGCCTGCACTGGCACGGGAGAATCAGAGCCGGGTCAGGTCCTACCCATAACCTTTTAAATGGGGCAATTGGGGTGGGGGATGAGGATCCTAATGGGGTTCCCTGCAGAACCTCTTGATTCCCTGGGTCCCCAGATTGTAACTGAAAAAGGAAAAACTTTTTAATCACATATGTTGAGCATCAGCTGTGGGCTTACTCCCCAGCTGAGTCTGTGCTCAACAAATGTTAACAATTTCAGTCCAGGCAGGTGAGCAAGTATGGCGTCTCAAAATAGGCATTCAGGCTGCAAGACTGGCCCCAGGCCCTGCACTCTCCGCCTTCCTCCCCACCCTGTCCCCTCTGCCTCACCAGACCCTGGCGAAGCCCATTCCCTAAATCTGCAGTGGACACAGAGGGGGCCAAGGCCAGATCCCTGGAGGTGACGGGCTTCCTCCACCATGGCCAGTATGTGATCAGGACTGCTGGGGACCCCATGGTCTGGCAGGACATATACTGCAGCTGGTACACAGAACGGCATTCCTGAAAACAGAAAAAGAGAAGCAAAGAATAAGAAAGAAAAGCATCCATGAGTACTCACTACACCCCAGGCCAGAGCTGAGTATCTTCCATTTAAACCTACCAGATAATAACTGAGGAGGCAGGTGCTATTTTGAATGCCCATTTTACAGAGAGAAACAGGCATGAAATTGCTTTCAAGTGGCAGCACCTTTCCTGTCTCCTCCCCTGTCTATACCTTCTGGAATGTGAACTTGAGGGTCCTGAGCATCATGTCTGCATTCAGCCACTTCTCTTTTGCCTGAGTATGGAGGCAAGAACAAAAGTCACGGTGCCAAAAGACACATGTTTAGAAACCAAAGCATTCTTGATTAAAAATCAAATTAACATATTTTTAAAAATTCATTTAGCTCAAACATCCCCCAAAGTGTTCAAGAAGGAAACATTTGACAGAAGAAAGAGGACACTATTATAAAAACCTCAAACATGCTCATTTACAACTGAAAAGAAAATTCTAAAATAAAAGTTTCACTGTATTTATTAAGTACTAACTATGTATTTATTTCAAAATGGTAAGAGAAGTAAGGATTTCAAGAAACCAGGCACATTTACATTACAGAAATAACAGTGATACTTTACAGAGACATTTGTAGGCTAACATCAGGTAGTTCCCTGCAATGTAAAGGGACTGTGGGATACAGATTTCAAGGTCAGTCCAAAGGCTTTCCATCTTGGGACTCTGCCTTGAAAGCTCCTACACATCCAAGTCCTGAAGAACTCTGTTCCCACCTCTGCCCCAGCTAACCAAAGTGATGCAGAAAAGCCCAATCTGCAATGGCTCCTGCTCTTGGGCCCAGTAACGCTTACACCTTTTCTACAAAAGGTATGGGAGAAAGCAGGGAGTGAGGAGGGGGAGTCAGTTTCAGAGTTTCAGCTCAATACATCTATCCTTCCCATCCCCCCCATTCACCCCAGATGCTGCTGGTGGACACACACAGGCAGCTGCAGCTATGATGGAGGCAATCCAGCAGCGCCATCAGGTTGAGCACAAGCAGACTCAATGGAGGGGAGCCAGTACCATGTAGAAGGAAGACAGTCCAGGATACCCTCCCACTGCAAGCAGCTAAAAACCTACAAAATCCATGAGCCATTATTTTCAGACATTGAATGACAGGCATTGCAGGACTCTGGTCACTGAACAGACCACCCCAGCTTACTGCCCAGAAGTGTCGACAGGCTGCAGGATATGAGGAGTACAGTGAATCCCAATAAGTTGAGAAGCCAGAGATCATGCCTCAGGGAGGCCAAGGAAGCTAGAATTTGCAGCCCTGGAAGGAACAAAACTATACAAACAAATAAAAGCAAACAAATAAACAACTCCCCCTCCCAGAAAAACCTCCAAAACCCCTCCAGACACTGCATAGGGGTCTGTTCCCTCCTTGAGTCTGTGGTTGGATAATAATCTGCATACATACAGCATGAGAATCCAGGAGGCCATGCAAGAATAACTTCCCATGAAAGAATAAATACTATGCATCTGCAGGATTAACATTTCCTAGAGCTCACAATGAGACAGAAATAATTTACATACCCTCTACCCAGAGTGGAAAGGCCTCATTGATTCTAGGGAGGTTTTCAGTAGGGAACCCAGAATGACCAGATTAGGAGTAGGGCTAAATTAATCCTACCATAAAGGGTAGGTACTCTAGACCTGCCCTAAGAGAACTTATATTCAAACCTCAAAATGATCAAACATCCAAAAGTAACTTAATTGCCTTCCTGAAAAAGTAAAACACTCTTTAAAGAAGCAACAGAATCCAGCACTTACCTGTTTAAAATTTAAAATATCAAGCAGGAAAATGTGACTCTTAACCAGGAGAAAAATCAGTCAATAGAAAAAGGCCCAGAAATGGCAGAGAGGAGGAAAGAAGCAAATACCTTAAAATAGCTATTATAAATATTGTAAATATACTTGAAGATGAAAAGGAAAACATGAACATGATCAAGAGTAAAAGAAAACCTAAATGTAATTTCTAGGAGGCAAAATAAAATATATGAAATGAAAAACTTTCTGTTCAATAGCAGATTAGACACCAGAAGAAAAGATCAGTAAACATGAAAATACAGCAATAGAAACTATTCAAAATGAAAAAGACAAAAAACAAAACAGAACAAAAACCCAAAAACCAGAGAATCACTTCTCTGTGGAACCATACCAAATGGTTTAATGTATGTATGTATACCCGAATGAAGTCCAGAATGAGAAGGGAGGGGGACAGAAACTATATGTGATAAAGTACAAGCTGAAACATTTCCCAAATTTGATGAAACTATGAACCCACAGAGCCAAGAAATTCAATGAACCAGAAGGAAATAAACATAAAGAAAGTCATACCAAGGCAAATTATGATCAAATTGCTGAAAAACATTGATAAAGAGACAATCTTAAAAGCATCATACACATAAAAGACACATCACATGCTGAAAAACAAAGAATGACAGCAAAATTTTGTCAGAAACTCTGCAAGTCAATGGTGTGACATCCTAAAAATGCTGAAATTTAAAAAAAACCTTTTCAGAAAATAAAAGCTAAGAGAATTCATCACAAGCAAATCTACACTATGAGAAATGTTTAACTAAGCTCTTCATACAAAGGGAACATGATACCAAGTGGAAATACAGATCTACACAAAAATAATGGAGTCAAGAAAAAAGTAAATATGTGGCTAAATGTAAAAGATATTTCTAGGCTGGGTGCAGTGGCTCACGCCTGTAATCCTAGCACTCTGGGAGGCCGAGGCGGGCAGATTGCTTGAAGTCAGGAGTTTGAAACCAGCCTGAGCAAGAGCGAGACCCTGTCTCTACTATAAATAGAAAGAAATTAATTGGCCAACTGATATATATATATAGAAAAAATCAGCTGGGCATGGTGGCGCATGCCTGTAGTCCCAGCTACTGGGGAGACTGAGGCGAGAGGATTGCTTGAGCCAAGGAGTTTGAGGTTGCTGTAAGCTAGGCTGATGCCACAGCACTCACTCTAGCCTGGGCAACAAAGTGAGACTCTGTCTCAAAATAAATAAATAAATAAAAATAAAAATAAAAGATATTTCTCTCACTTTTAACATCTTTAGAAGATAATTTAGTGAATTTTATCAAACAATTAAGGAGGAATTAACACACCAATCCTTCATAAACTCTTGCAAAAAACTGAAGAAAAGGCAATATTTCCCAACATATTGTATGAGGCCAGTATTACCCTGATATCAGGATTAGACAAAGATATCACAAGAAAACTACTAACCAACATCTCATGAATATAGACACAAAAAGTCTTAATAAAATACTAGCAAAATATACAACATGACCAACTGGGGATTAATCCCAGGAATGCAAGGTTGGTTCAATATATGAAAATCAATAAATGTCATACACTATATTAGTAGAATAGAAAAAAAAAGCATGATAATCTGAATAGATACAGGGGAAAAAATTGAGAAAACCCAACACTCTATCATGATAAAGTTCATTAGGAACTCAGTGCCCAAAGTTTTTATTGGGGAAGCTTCTGTATAGCATGTAGGCACCCTCTGCCTAACATGTACCTGTACCAAAATTTCAGACTGTCAGAGAGCAGGTGGTCAGCATCAACCATATTGTTTGTATAAGCAATTTAGGCATAGTGAGTCACTCTTACTAGAAATCCAAATTCCCAGAGGCCATATAGGAGCCAATCTTATAAGAAGGTCTTTTTAAGCATAAGCAATTTAACTCTCAAGCAATGCTTAACTCTTTTCTACACAGAAAGGGACCTACGAAGAATAGCCAAAATATCTTGAAAAAAATAACAAATTGAAAGGACTCATACTTCCTGATTTCAAAACTTACTACAAAGGTATAATAAGCAAAACTGTTATACTGGCACAAGGACAGACATATTGTCAATTGAATAAAATCGAGAGTTTAGAAATATAAACCCTTACATTTATGGCCAATTACTTTTCAACAAAATTGCCAAGACCATTCAATGGGGAAAGCATACTTTTTAAAACAAATGGTGCTGGAGCAACTGAATATCCATATGCAAAAGAATGACTTTGGATCCTTACCTCACACTACATACAAAATTAACTCAAAATGAATCAGAGACATAAATGTAAGAGATAAAACTACAAAACACTTAAAAGAAAACATAGGAGTAAATCTTTATGATCTACCATTAGACAATGACTTCTTAGACACAACACCAAAAGCATAAATGAAACAATAGATAGACTGGAATTCATCCAAATGTAAAAAGTTTGTGCTTCAAAGAACACTCTCAACAAAGTGAAATGATGTGACTCAGGAGGCTGATGTAGTAGGCTTGCTTGAGCCCAGGAGTTTAATACCAGCCTGCACAACATAATAAGACCCTATCTCTACAAAAACAATATATTAAAAAAAAAAAATTAGCTGGGCATGGAGGCATGCTCCTGTAGTCCCAGCTACTCATGAGACTAAGGCAGGAGGATTGCTTGAGCCCAGGAGTTTGAGGCTACACAGCACGCTAGCCTGGATGACAGAGCAAGATGCCATCTCTTAAAAAAAAAGTAAAATGACAGCCCAGGGAATGGGAAAGATATTGTAAATCAGGTACTGATAAGGGACTTGTATCTAGAATATTGTATTGTATTGTATCTTACAATAATAAAAAGACAATCCCAAATAACCCATTTTTAAAATGGGCAAATTATCTGAATAGACATTTTCCAGAGGAGATATACAAATGTACAAATAAACAGATGAAAACCAAAACCACAATGAGATACCATTTCCCACTTAATTAGAGTGACATATGTGTGTGTGTGTGTGTGTGTGTGTATGTGTGTGTGATGTAGCCACTGTGAAAAATAGTTTAGTAATTCCTCAAAATGTTAAAAATAGAGTTCCCATATGACCCAGAAATTCCACTTCTAGGTCTATACCCCAAGAGAAATGAAAACATATGAATTTCATGGCAGCATTATTCATAATAGCTAAAAAGTAAAAAGTGCCTAAATTCTATAAACTGATTAATAGATGAGTAAAATGTGGTAGATCCATTCAGTGGAATATGATTCAGCAATAAAAAGGAGTGAAGTATTGATGCATGCTATAATATGCATGAGCATTAAAAACATGCTAAGTGAAAATGGCCAGTCATGAAAGACCACATATTTATATTATTCCATTTATGTGAAATGTCCAGAGTAGGCAAATCTACAGAGACAAGAAGTAGATTAGGGATTGCCTAGAGGTTGGTGAGAAATGGGAAGTGACTGC